TGGATTACTACGCGTTGAATATCCACGCGCTGGATCGCTACGCGTTGGATATCCACACGCTGGATTACTACGCGTTGCTTAACTACGCGTTAGATTCCTACGCTTAGAATTCCCACGCGTTGGATTACTACGCGTTGAATATCCACGCGCTGAATCACTACGCGTTGGATATCCACACGCTGGATTACTACGCGTTCGTTAACTACGCGTTAAATTAAAGGAAAATCTTATTCTGAATAAGATCCCCCTCATTTCTGGGGCAATAATTATGAGACACCCTATACAAGTTATTTTTTATCATTGAGAATTGAAGAACGATAAAAATAAGAGGTTAATTTTTAGAATAGAGTACAAGAATATAAGAAATAAGTGGTATATTTTTGATAAAAAAAATTGCTAGCGTAAATGTTATTCCAAAAGAAGCCACTCATCCTACAGGAAGCTGAAGCTATCACACGGGTACTATTAAAAATAGTTTTCAGCGTTTTGATCGACATTGGAACAACAATTGCACTATATATTATACTATCCTCCACTTCTTTTACGCGTTGTATAATCGAATAACGTACTTCGACTCGTAAGGTGAGACATCCTGAGTTAACCCTTCCGGAGTCACTCTAACCCTAATTAGACACCGAACGTGTACGGGTTCACGAGTGCAAACGGTTCGACACTTTTTGTAGGCAGTTGAAAAACTTGTTCCAATTCCGCTTACTATCGGGTTGTTCAGAAAATTGTTGTCGAAAGGAGGATATATTTATATTAATATTTATGTTGAGGAACCAATTGTATATTATGTATAGAAACCAATAGGTGTTTATGTTAATATAAAAACCAAAATTATATGTAACTGTTAAATAGTTAATAATACATATTGATACATATAACTATCAAATATTTGATTTATGTGAACTTTGTATAAATTCAGTAGTAAATTAAATTAGTACTAAGATCGAATGATTATTTAATAAAAATCTGATTTAACAAAATTGATGTGAAATTAACCTACCTTCAGTTACAATTACAGCTCTGAGGCGGTTTCCCAAGAAATGTAGATTCCTCATTTTTGTATAATTGCGTCCAGTGTAGTTGACACTTTCAAACCCGACTGTGACACGTTCCTAAGATGTACAATCCTCTTAATTATTCCTCGCAATGATCAATAAACTCTGTCTGCATCTTTGACTGCACGAGTTATGAATAAAAGCAAGCCCAGAATTGCGCAGATGTAGATTACGTAGAATGTAGTTTCGTCAAACTAAAATTATTGCACGAATTGTAAATAAAAGTAAGACTCCAATTACACAGACAAGTTTCACTTTCGTTAAGCTAAAACTATTTTTATATTTTTTTATAACTATATTCTTTTTAAAATATATAACGTTTTATATGAACAATTATTGTTGCAAAATTTGTAACTGTTGTTATTTCAAACTTAACGCGAATTAAATAATTTTATCATTCTTCATATTTGAATTTTAACATAATGAATGATGAAACTAATTTTGTTTATAATTTACTCCCGTTCTGTTAAACGTTCGACAAAACTTTTTGAACAACCACGATAACTTTCCTGCGTTTCTTAAAAAAAAGCAGCTACTATTTTAGCGTTAAAATACTTTGTCAATGTACATGTTATACGGTCGCGTGCAACTTAGGTTTCATTTAGTCGAGGAGAAATATATGTAAAGGAAGATGTCCTACCTCTTCAGTTATTTGTCCTTGTTCTTTATAAGGATAGGAAATTTTAGGTTACGTTTTATCTATGTCAGAATTGTTTAAAGATGAGAAAATTACTGGGAAAGTTTATTAAGATGGAAAATAGGGAAGAGGAAAATTTTTATATTTTGAAATTTGGGATTTGGGGAATTGGGAATTTGGGAAATTAGGGAATTGGGGAATTTGGGATAATTTGGAATTTGGGGAATTTGGAATTTGGGGAATTTGGAATTTGGGGAATTTGGAATTTGGGGAATTTGGAATTTGGGGAATTTGGAATTTGGGGAATTTGGAATTTGGGGAATTTGGAATTTGGGGAATTTGGAATTTGGGGAATTTGGAATTTGGGGAATTTGGAATTTGGGGAATTTGGAATTTGGGGAATTTGGAATTTGGGGAATTTGGAATTTGGGGAATTTGGAATTTGGGGAATTTGGAATTTGGGGAATTTGGAATTTGGGGAATTTGGAATTTGGGGAATTTGGAATTTGGGGAATTTGGAATTTGGGGAATTTGGAATTTGGGGAATTTGGAATTTGGGGAATTTGGAATTTGGGGAATTTGGAATTTGGGGAATTTGGAATTTGGGGAATTTGGAATTTGGGGAATTTGGAATTTGGGGAATTTGGAATTTGGGGAATTTGGAATTTGGGGAATTTGGAATTTGGGGAATTTGGAATTTGGGGAATTTGGAATTTGGGGAATTTGGAATTTGGGGAATTTGGAATTTGGGGAATTTGGAATTTGGGGAATTTGGAATTTGGGGAATTTGGAATTTGGGGAATTTGGAATTTGGGGAATTTGGAATTTGGGGAATTTGGAATTTGGGGAATTTGGAATTTGGGGAATTTGGAATTTGGGGAATTTGGAATTTGGGGAATTTGGAATTTGGGGAATTTGGAATTTGGGGAATTTGGAATTTGGGGAATTTGGAATTTGGGGAATTTGGAATTTGGGGAATTTGGAATTTGGGGAATTTGGAATTTGGGGAATTTGGAATTTGGGGAATTTGGAATTTGGGGAATTTGGAATTTGGGGAATTTGGAATTTGGGGAATTTGGAATTTGGGGAATTTGGAATTTGGGGAATTTGGAATTTGGGGAATTTGGAATTTGGGGAATTTGGAATTTGGGGAATTTGGAATTTGGGGAATTTGGAATTTGGGGAATTTGGAATTTGGGGAATTTGGAATTTGGGGAATTTGGAATTTGGGGAATTTGGAATTTGGGGAATTTGGAATTTGGGGAATTTGGAATTTGGGGAATTTGGAATTTGGGGAATTTGGAATTTGGGGAATTTGGAATTTGGGGAATTTGGAATTTGGGGAATTTGGAATTTGGGGAATTTGGAATTTGGGGAATTTGGAATTTGGGGAATTTGGAATTTGGGGAATTTGGAATTTGGGGAATTTGAAATTTGGGAATTTGGAATTTGGGGAATTTGAAATTTGGGAATTTGGAATTTGGGGAATTTGAAATTTGGGAATTTGGAATTTGGGGAATTTGAAATTTGGGAATTTGGAATTTGGGGAATTTGAAATTTGGGAATTTGGAATTTGGGGAATTTGAAATTTGGGAATTTGGAATTTGGGGAATTTGAAATTTGGGAATTTGGAATTTGGGGAATTTGAAATTTGGGAATTTGGAATTTGGGGAATTTGAAATTTGGGAATTTGGAATTTGGGGAATTTGAAATTTGGGAATTTGGAATTTGGGGAATTTGAAATTTGGGAATTTGGAATTTGGGGAATTTGAAATTTGGGAATTTGGAATTTGGGGAATTTGGAATTAGTAGATTTGGGAATTGGGGGATTTAGGAATTGGGGGGTTTGGGAATTGGGGAATTTGGAATTTGGAAAATTGGGAATTGGGAGATTTAGGAATTAGGAAATTTGGAAATTAGAAAATTTGGGAATTTGGAAACTTGGGAACTTGGGAACTTGGGAATTTGAAAATTTGGGAATATGAAAACTCAGAAACTTTTAAATTCGCTAATTAGGTAGCTTCACTAATTTGATACATCAAAAACCTGGAAATTTAAAAGTTTAACATTCTACTAATTCCAAAATTTGAAGATCATAAAATCCAATAACTACAAAATTTTATAATAAGAAAATTCGAAAATTCTCCCCATGCCCTACACTATCCCCTACATTTCCCCAAATCTTCCATCCTCAAACATCCCCAAAATTCCCACCCATTCCTCCCTAAACTTACCCACCATTTCCCCAAGTTCCAAATGAAACGTTCCTTAACCATCCTTAACCTACGTTGCACTCGAGTACCATATCGGATAAAAAATATACGAGTTAACGATCGACAAGACTGTAACTCGGGAAAATATGAATTGTGCAAAGGGTTTTTAAAAAAAGTCTCAGTCTCCTTTAGTTATCGCTTAACCCTTTCGCTACGGCCCGATAACGATCGTACGATAACGGTTGTGCAGGTTTTATCATCTAACTCAATATACGAACGTAAATAAAATAATTTTATTAGTAAATTTCCACTTACACCCAGTCGTGTATTTAATATTTTTTCTCTCAATGTGTCATTGTATTCCTGTGATTGCACAAACGAGGGGTTTACAGTTCTTAGTAGCGAAACGGTTAAACACGGTTTTGTTTTAAAAAATAATTTTGTTTCTTTTCTGTTCGTTTCAAGCTTGAATTAACAAGGGAAACATCGGTCGCGCAAGGATTTCGCGTTCGCGAGGATCACAGGGATCGAAGCAAGGCGGTGCGTCGATTTTTCTTTTCTTTCTTTCTTTTTTCATTTTTTTTAGCGGATATCAATGACAACGACTGAAATATCGAAAACTTCGACATATATTACAAATTGATAGAACGATCGACAACGATCGGATACGAATTCGATTAAGTTCGTGAGGTGACTGATCGCGGGGTTCGCCTCGATTGCCGGACACTCGAGCTGTCGATTCTTTTTTAGCGGTTCCATCGTGTCCAGCACCGGCTCCTAGAGTATCTGGAACAGCTTCTTCAATTCGACCATCAACTGCCAATCCGTTTTCACCAGATCGTCCCTGAAGTACTCTTTGCACGCGTCTATGCTCTGTCTGCTTATCTGTAATACACACCGAACCATTTATTTAACACTTTTCAATAAAAACTGAAGTAAATGTTTATTTTCTAAGTGTGTCATGTCGACTATGTTGTTAAGACTTTGTCTATTAACCTAACTATCTGTAATACACACCGAACCATTTATTTAACACTTTTCAATAAAAACTGAAGTAAATGTTTATTTTCTAAGTGTGTCATGTCGTTGATGTTGTTAAGACTTTGTCTATTAACCTAATTAGAAATGTTTATATTAACTGTTTACTGCTGTGAATAATAAATATATGTTAGCGTCGTTAATGTTGTTAAGACTTTGTCTATTAACCTAATTAGAAATGATCGTATTAACTGTTTACTGCTGTGAATAATAAATATATGTTAGCGTCGTTAATGTTGTTAAGACTTTGTCTATTAACCTAATTAGAAATGATCGTATTAACTGTTTACTGCTGTGAATAATAAATATAATACAGTACTGTGACATTAATAGGTCTCGTCAAAAATAAAAATACGTCAATCAAATTTTTTGTTGTATCAACACGGCAGTCAACATTAATACATTTATTGTATTAAATGTCGAGAGGCGCCTCTCAAGCACCATTCGATTTAATACAATAATTTAAAACAAGCATTATTTAATTAATTCTATAATAGTGCTCGTGTGATGTACAAATATAGTGTGTCACGTCGATTATGTTGTTAAGACTTTGTCTATTAAACTAATTAGAAATGTCCATATTAACTGTTCACTGCTGTGAATAATAAATATAATACAGTACTGTGGCATTAATAGGCCTCGTCAAAAATAAAAATACGTCAATCAAATTTTTTGTTGTATCAACACGGCAGTCAACATTAATACATTTATTGTATTAAATGTCGAGAGGCGCTTCTCAAGCGCCATTCGATTTAATACAATAATTTGAAACGAGCATTATTTAATTAATTCTATAATAGTGCTCGTGTGATGTACAAATATAGTGTGTCACGTCGATTATGTTGTTAAGACTTTGTCTATTAAACTAATTAGAAATGTCCATATTAACTGTTCACTGCTGTGAATAATAAATATAATACAGTACTGTGGCATTAATAGGCCTCGTCAAAAATAAAAATACGTCAATCAGATTTTTTATTGTATCAACATAGCAGTCAACATTAACACTATTCCTACCGACACTTCACGTATACCTATTCCTACCGCGACCGGTCAAATGACCGGTCTTTAGCACAACTTATATTTTTTAGTATAGGATGAAAATAATAGGCAATTTAATAATATAAAAATATAGTTTCTTTTATTTAGAAGTATATACTATGTACTTTATTCGTTTTCACCACATTTTTTGCAAATAGGCCTCTCGATTGTACATTTTCCACATACATACTTTTTACATTGCAGACCAATTTTATTGGTTTTATTATCTTTGCAATATCTAATTTGACATGTTTTACGTTTTTCTGCACTGTCATTTTCAATATAAAAAATTTCCTGATCATTTTCGGTACATTCTTCATCAATATCATTTATTTTTTCTAATAATGAATTTACACTCTTCAAACTTGACATTTGGGACATGAATATTCAACTGAAAATAAATTTTATTCAAAATAAAAACTAAAATGTATAAATGTAAATCCAAATACATAAAGAAATGAATAAAAGATAAAATGTGAAACTTACGGCGAAGTACTGATGATTTTGTCTAGTTTTTTGGAAATGACACTTATAACACATAAAACAATACTTATAACAACATAAAATACAGGTAGAATAATAATAGAATAGAAATACAAAATAATAAAAAACTGCTGAATATACTTCTTGTGACTTTGACGTACTGATGTTCTATGTTCGCGTCGCAAGAGTTTATTGATTTCAATTCATCAAAAAACGTTTGGGCGTCCCCTTCGGCTAAAATTTTATTTATTTTATAATCATAGTAAATGAGACAGTGTTAGAAAATCCTAAGTTCTTGACTGCGTCGAATACCAATCAGGCAAATAAATACCGCGAGACCGATAGGCGAGCGAAAGCTATATACACTTGGAAGGGCCGTAAAGAATATTGAAAAAAGTATTATATGCATGTTTCAGGAAAAGTCATGAAGTTTAAAGGCGTTTCAATTACGCTTTATACAGGAAATTCTAATCGAAATTTTGAAAACGGTCATTTGACCGGTCGCGGTAGGAATAGTGTTAATATATTTATTGTATTAAATGTCGAGAGGCGCTTCTCAAGCGCCATTCGATTTAATACAATAATTTGAAACGAGCATTATTTAATTAATTCTATAATAGTGCTCGTGTGATGTACAAATATAGTGAAATAGATAACAGTGGAAATTATTAGTAGAGAAATAGTAACTTCAGAAGAATTCATTTAACATTTTAATTAATATCGTAAAGTTGCTGTTTGCAAACAATAAAATTATGTCCGAGTGCAGAGAGTTAATAATGTATTAGGTTAGAAACTATGAAACGGGCGTTTCTTTGAATTGTTTATTAACTCTAAAAATAAAGATTTTTTCAAAAAGGCATATATGATTTGCCCAATCGTTGGTAAAAACTCGTAGATGCCAATAGAAATTATTTCAATTGAATATAATAAATAATGTAAAAAATTGCTTTTCGTTTTTTATTTTCATTCAACGCCCGTTTCATAGTTTCCAACCTAATACTTCAAACTAAAATGATCACACAATCAAGCAAGAATTATTACATTCGAATTTGTTGCAAATCGAACTCGTCACAGTGCTTATGTTCTTCAAAATTTCTTCCCTCAATCCATTAACTTAAAACCATAAATACGATAATTACATAATTAAATACGATAAATACAGACAAAATTTGTAAAAAATAAAAATCCTACTCTAGGCAATAAAATATACTCCGGAACGAGTTAAGTCGACGACGCGTAGAAAATCAGGAAGAAAAGGGTATGAAAAAGTGTGAGAAAAGAGTGAGTGTAAGAAAAGCGTAGAATTGGTACGGGTAGCGTACGAATAATTTCCTTGAATCGGTTTTCGCGAGGACGGGCGCATGCTCGCGCACACGGTCCATTCACTAACGTAACGCTTTACAACTGTTTCCGCCCCCCACTCCCGGCCGGAAGTCCCGTTTCATTCATGGATCGGTCACAATGGTGGTTTTACGCGGCTATTGAGGACGCCTGCCTCCCGCCACGCCC